ACGAGAGGGTTATCCTTTATTTATAGAGCTCGCACTATCGATATACCTAATCTATGTCGGACGGTTTCTATTGTATTTATTATTCGTGCATTCGGATATTATTCTGACATCTCCGGTTATTTAAAACCGCAGATAAGTCGTCGGCGCGATTCGTGACGTATCTTACGAACTGGAGTATCAATTCTGCGTGACGCTTACCTTTGTTTCACTTGAATCGTTTATGCAGGTGTTCAACGTTCGCCTTTTTATGCAAATTTCGTGGTATATTTAGCGATTTTACGAATTACAGCGCGGGCCTTTACGTTTATTTTGCCTCGTAAAACACTTATAGCAGCTTGCATTAGTGCGCACTTGTGAGTGCATACCAAGGCTTGTTCAGAGTCCACACTGAGAAAAATGTCTTTGAAAATTTACTTGTGGCATATAATGTTTACTTCAGTGAAATACGTCGACCTCGACTGGCAGATAAATTCTTTAGTAAAATAAAACACACATGTGTAAAAAAGAAACACGCATGTGATAAAGGATTTTTCTGCCAGTCGAGGTCGACGTATTATTTAATTTGACATTTTAACACTGGCAACTTGAAACATTAAAGTTATTCTTCTTTCTCTCCCGCCGTCTTCATTTCGCATCTAGCTCGGGCGAGTAACATATCAATTGTAAAACACGGTTCATTATTATCAGCAAATAAATATTTACAGGTATTTTATACTAGTGAAAGGATGCTATTTGTTAAACGACTACTTTCGAGCAAGAGTACATTCGACCAGCGTATTAAACAGGCAATATAAAATTTAGTTCGAAAATTTAGCATTAGGTTTTTCATTACGAAACTTCGTTAGAAATGGCGTTTTCGTAATTAGCGAGCGGCAGCGCCGCTTATCTCGTGCGCGCGGCTCGAGTCAAGTTCACGCGGACCCTACGTGAAAATCCAAGATACGCAGATTAATCCGATACTGACGGTTAGATCCAAGAACAAATTGCACATTCATCGAAGGGGTTCTGCGTCGCGTGTAATTCCCGTTCTATCGTATGTAACTCCCACTCGGGGCGAGTGACTCGGTAAGCGTGAATCATCGTTCCGGTACTGAGGACAGTGGAAAAACAGTGCTTTCTGAGTAGCGAGACCGTCGTGGCGTCGCTCGCTAGAAAGCGATCTGGGACTATTTCCTCGGGTCAACTATTTATAGTCCGAGCGCCCGTTTTCATCTGCCGGTCCGCCGCCATCGATGCTCGGATAAGAGGCCAATTGTCTATTGACGTTACGCCTTACCGCCAAGTTTGCTATTACCGTTGGACCCGTAATAAATATTTTTTTTAAGGACGTTCATTGGTAAATCGATTTTCTATGTATTTGCTCCAAATTTGGGCCATATGCTATTAATAGTGCTATCTACAGAGTGTTTCATTTTAATCGGCCCAGGCAAATATCTCGAAAAATATGAAAGATACGGAAAAACGTTTCAGACGAAAGTTGTTTGGTTCGAAGGGGGACATAAGATGGTGTCATTGGTTGGACCTTGAGTGAACGTGTCAGGGTCATATGGAGTTTAACTTTGTTTTTCAAATGAAATTATCTTCCTCCTATTTTTCATTACATATTCTTGTAGCTTACCTCAAGAGCTTTTCAAATCACTATAATAAACTGCTTTTGTATTCAGTATTTCTTTAGTTATGAGGCTTGAAAGTTACAGTACTGCTGGCATTAGCATTACTCAAGATCGATTCGGTCAGTGAAGGCAAGACCTAAGATCGATCCGGCCGGTGAAGGCAAGATCCTTGGTAATACCGGTAGTACTGTATCTTTCAAGTCTTATAACTCGGGAAGTGCAACGTTATTTGATTTTCGTTTTTCACAAAGCGTGCTAGTGTACGTGTATACATGTAAGACGCAGAGCTACGTTAATTGTGCAGTATGTATAATTTATGTTGAAAGTCGTGAAGTAGGGAGACGATCGCGTTGTACGGAAAGAAAGCCGAACATGGGCGAAAACTTTTGGCTACGATTACAGCCGATGAACGTCCTTAAGCAACAAAATGTCGGATGCGCAGAAGGGATCGACGCAAAACGAAACAAATGGTGGAGTGGACCTACTAGACTACGTTTCCACCGAGGGTTCAGAGTCGGGCTCGATTCTGACCCGATTCTGACCCGACTCTGACCCTCGGTGGAACCTCACTGCTCAAATAAAGGCAAACGCTCGGTCCAGATATATCATGTCTATGGTTAGGTCCTAAAGTCAGGTGCCATCTTCGAAGAGGAAAATCTGAAAATGACTAGAAAGGGGGTGAAAACAGAATAACCGCACGTCACGAAATATAAATAGAAATATTTAACTCCTCCGCATGACTCGCCTACGTAGTTTAAAAGTTTACATCCGTGTCAATTTCATGCAAATAGACGCGGAGGAACACCGTGTACGGGCGTGATCTAATCATCCCTGACGCAACCCCAATTCGTCCGTTCCTCCAACATAGCACCGTGTACTACGTGCGAATCGTAAAGTCTGCGACACTCGTAATGACTCCGTCACAATAGGCATTTTGTACGACCGTTGTAGAACCTGACCTCACACACAAACACACGCAATCAGAGAGTCGCAACAATGCGTGCGCGCGAACCTCGTTGCCCTCGCGATGCCAACACGGCGGCGCCGAGAGCGAGTGAGAGTCTCGTCGTTGGTTTGACGAACGAAAACAACAGTTCTTGTCATCCACGCCGCGTTCTATTAATAACTCGGTGTTCGCCGCGGCTCTTTGTAGATTTGTCGAGGGTCGCGGCGAGCTCCCATTGATTCATTGAGAATATCGTGGGAGAACGATGCGTCTCTCGCGGAAGTGCGATCGTTGTTAGACTAGTGACCCTCCCTAGAATAAGTACGACGAAATAACGTCGAATTAGCCGGTCACTCCTAATTGGACGTTAATCACGCGAATGATAAAGAAATTATTTACAGCTGCTTGTAATTCGTCACTGCGACTGTTAATTACTCGTATTTGGAAATCACACACGTTCGTTCGCTAATTGTATGTTTAACTTCAATCCAGTGACTCGGTAGTTACTAATTACACGACTGTGACTTATCAATTACATTTATAACTAATTGACGGTCGGTCATTGTTCGGTAACAAATTGCTTGTTTTTTTTTTCAATCTTATACCGTTCCCGTGTCATTGCCATGAATGTGCGATTCGACCAGTTTTGAAAATTTACAACTGACTGTGAAGTGTAATCAGATAATTCTGGGGATCACAATTTTGTGAACGAATGAACTCGTTTATTCAGCGTACAGCCAAGAAGCGCGACTTGGTTTACATCGTATACTTAACCACACTCACACGTCATGCCTCAAACACACAATCTATAAATAATACAATATAACTACAGCCCACACTATCACCTGACGTCTACTTCTTGGTGTCCTAGAATCTTATACTCTATTTTTATTCCCTCTCCCTTTTTTTCCTTAAGTCTAATCTCTTTTCTTTTGCTTTCCAAAACTTTACCAACACCCTTTCTTTTTCTTCTTCCAAGTTCTCATTCCACAACTCATTTAATCTTTCTACTACATTATTCCCTAATACCTCGAACTTCTTTGGAAATCTCACATTCCCCTAATGTAAAGTTATCCTTTCATCACAAAAGACACACTTCCATACATCTTCCACCATCTAATTATACTTGTTATGAGATCACAATTTTTGACATTTTTTTACAACGCCATTGTTATGCTACATTCACATTCTTCGTTTTGGCACACACTTAAGAGTGAAAGAAGACATTCACCCTACTTCTTTATTCAAAAAGTGACAATTTGCATACTTATAGCATCAGAGGGATGATGTGTGAGGGACGATGGCGTGTCTTTCCGGTCGATTATAATGACCCGCTTACCGGATTAATTATCTTAAATTTCTTATACCTATCTGTACGTATCTTCGGTCGAGTCGGGAACGATTAATCATTTCGAACCTTCCGAGTGACGGGATCGTGTAAACTCAGGTGTAGCACAAAACCGGAAATGCTTACAGGGACGTAATAGCGATTCACGCTGATGAAAACAATCGATATTCTCGAAATGGGAAACGAGAATGAAATTCTTGCCGTGTACAAGCGCAATTCCGTTACCGAGTGGTTGCAGAAAACCGGACAGGCCACTGACTACGTGAATGATGGTAAATGGATAATTACGAAAAGATTTCGATCCCCCTTGCAATTTTTTTCATCGCGCCCCACTCTATGTATACTCTTTATCTTTAAACAAAACGGAAGTACTTTTTATGTATCACGAGTTTTGTATTGCATTTATATGAATTATATCTTACGACGTCTAAGAAATTATCGAACTCTATTATATCTTGAGATATCACTTGTAATAATATGTGCTTGCAATTTTCTAATTTAACACACATATGCCTTCTGCATATACAGTTTTCTCACTAATATACACATATATACACATTTATATATTTGCAAACTCTAAAGTGCATAAAGAAGAGTGTGATTAATAAAAAAAACAATAAATCGTATAAAAAAATAGTAATATTAACATCCTCGATAGGAAAATGCCTCAAATATTGTGTAATAATTGCATTATCGAAAGGCAGGAAATTTCACAATAATTGCATTAAGGTGATTCGCCAAAACGCAGCTATTTTGCTGATATACTATTTAGAAATACATTGTGCAAATATTTATCAATGTTTGATGAAAGGTCTCCATTTCTGCATATGTTATTCGAAATATGTACGCATAATTCCAGCATTCCAAGTTTCATCCAGATTTTGTCACATAATTTGTTAAACATTTTCCGATCGGGGATCGAAATAAAATCAAAATTTTCCGTGTCATAATAGACTAAAAAGTCATTGATTTAGATTTAGATCAGACTTTCGTTGCGGTGTTACAGTAAAGAAGGCATTCAATATTACAAACAGACGATGCAGATAATTATTTGTTAGCCGATTTCTTAACAAAATTATTTTGTTTCTCGCAGGCAGCGAGAGCCCAGTTTTCGGCATCGAGGGTGGCGGTAACGGTGCAGGCAGCAGTGGCTTGAGGCTTGCACCCCAAGAGCTGCCGAATGAGATCTCGGCACCGTACGAGGTACCGCAATTCCCGATCGAGCAGATCGAGAAGAAGCTCCTGATCCAGCGGCAACTGACCGTCAAGTGAGTATTAATGCATACATTTTTACAGCGTTTTTTATTTACGCAATTCAGATTGGTTCAAGTAAAAACTCATTTCTACGAACCTACATACCTGTACTCGCATACTCTTAGAGTAATTCGCCAATTTGGGATCAGGTTTTCAAACGAACGTTTGTAGCGTTGTTATTTATGTCTAAAGATTAAAATTATTGACACAAGCGTGTTGTCTAAATGCCTACGGAGACTTCTTCTTATGAAACCTAATGCATTCGTGCACCTTTAAACATCTTTCTATTTATCACACATTTTTATATAACTTTTCATTTCTATTAACAAGTCAGCTCGAACGGCTTTCATTTGGTCACTTTGCGTTGAAAGAAGTTAATCTCGTGGATTAAAACGAAGCCAATAAGCGGAGGCTAAAATTGAGATCGCGATATGTACGACTGTGCAGGAGGTACTAAAGTATTATCGCCGTACCGAGGAATATAAAGTACTCAGATGTATGAGGTAATACGCGGATGATCGAGTATCTGCTGAGACCGAATGCTATAAGTCGCTATACAGGGTGTCTGTAACGTTGGCATTTAAGAATCAGACAAACTTAAGGTAGTTATTTCGTAAAATTATTTGTGTGAGAATTGTTTCAAATTTTTACAGTTTATTCTTTACATTAATACGTGCAAAATAAGACTAATTAACAAATTAAGAATGTGAATCGCCAGTAAATGATAAACGATAAAAAGAATTGTTAGACGACTTAGGCTGGCAGATGGTTTATTTGTTCAATTAAAATCCGACGTTTCGTCTAATTGTAAGTCTAAAAAGACTAATTAAATTAAAATTTACCATCTCAAAGTTCTAAAAAAAAAATGTTAAAGTTTACTATGTCACACGAAATATTACGTGTAAAACACGTTAAAAATATTATTACACGTAACAATATAATTCATTGTAATATTATTAGACGTGAAATATTATTTACGCATCTTATTATGTGTTAAAATATTAATATTTGCGTTTGCAAACGCAAATAATGGCACGTTTTATTTTTTTACGCTTAACGGTGAGTGAGATTCGTATGAGAAAGAAATATAAAGTAAAATAGAACGAATAACTGTAAAAAAAACATCAAAATTATTGACCGTTTCGTTTCAACAATATAAACAGTTAAAACTGAAAAATAGGGAGAATTATGTAGTAGACATGAGTGTAGTGTAAGAGAGTGGCAACGACGCCTCGAACTATAATCTTTCGAATTTATTTTATATTATGTATTAATCGTAACTGCATTCTTTAGAACAATATTACATCAAGATATATCATTGTAATAATTGAGTGCTGGTTTCTGTCTGGAAGAAACTTTCGAGCCTTACTGTCGCGAAACAACTACCCTAAACTAAATTAATTCGGTGAAAATCGCCAAGCGTGTAAAAATTAAAATTATGTTTAGAAAGAACACGATTTTGAGCGGCAATGTTTAAAAAAAAACTCTTGTTTCCAAAATGTACGGCATGTGTGAAAGAACATCGTGCTTCTTTTATATTTTTTAAACGATCTAAGCGTTCTGGCGTTTTCGAACTCGTGTATATTTAAATGTCGCAATCGCGTGTCGGGCATCTCGGGTACATCACGATCCGTTCAAAGGCTCTTACGAAAATTAAGGAACGAACGGAAGATCGCTTGTTCTTCGCACGGTATTATCACCGGACCGTCGTATTAATCGCGAGATGTGGGGTCGGATTTTAAATGCGCCCGATGAGAGTGTCCCGAATTAGCTAGCTCCTCCGCTGAAAGAATATTAAATTCGCCTCACTAATCCCTCCTACCCAGGCTTTTAACGCGAATTTGCGTCCGGCCAAGGGAGGAGAAAGAATGTGTCATCTATCGGAAAATCTGAGAAACTCGAGGAGAATACTTGGGTTACATCTGCGTAATTTACCCGTGATTATTCTACAGCTAGTTGGTACGACTATATCGGGGACCCCGTGTCTCTATTGTATGCACAATATTGACGATCGAACGCTGACGCGATACTTGCCGAGGATGACTCGTTCGACTTCCTGCGGCGTGGCGCAGCAATGAGAAAACGTTCCACGCGCGATGTTTTACCATAGTATAGCCATAGTGTAACTGGTATGCCCCACTCTCTGTCGGCCCTTTGATCTGTTCGGACTCGATCACGTGGTGCTCCGCAATTACTTCGGTGTGTGAAATCCTTTCACACTGTCACACTACCACATATATACTATAGTACAACTAGTATGCCCACTCTGCCAGTGGTTTTGTTTTGCGCCGATCCTTTCCGCGCATCCGCCATTATTTTGGTGTGGCCAATGAGACGGGTGTTGTATATGCGGTAGTGTGAAATCAGTGTGACAGTGTGACGGGATTTCATACCAAAACCATGGCGGAATACCACGTGTCGAGACCGAAAAGATCGAAGGACCGACAGAGAGCGGGCATACTAGTTATAAAGGGTGTTTCAATAAGAAGGAATGATGTTAAACGTGAATTAAAAATCGGTGGCGTACAAAAATGAAAATTTCTTTAATAGAACATGTTTGGTAGGCCATTACAATTAAGTATGGAAGATAATGTCCGCCAAATGTTCGCCACGGCTCCGGCGGCACACGTCAATCCGCTTATCGAAATTTGCTATCACATCTCGACACAACTGCTCCTGAATCTCTTCAATGTGGCGTGAAATTTCGTCTTTGAGTTGCTGGATGGTGGGCTTAGACTTTACTCTTCAATTTGGGGCCATTTACTATGGTTTTACGTGGGCACGCCGACTCGGCAACGCACGCCGCGGGTTTGCCATGCGAACCAGTGAGTCGGGGTGATTATCGTCGTTAGATATTTCACCGGGCACCGTGATGTATTATGCAGATCCGAGCGAAGGATATAAACGGATAGATAGAGCGTGGGGCGGGGAGAGAGGAGAGAGAGGGAGACTGGTAGGTCACGCTCACGTCTCGACTGGAGAGACCGGGACGAGTATTTTGCGAATTTTGCGCGAGAAATATGTCGCATTTGCTATTCAGTGAAATGGCGCGCCGCGCTCTCTTTTCCAGTTTCCCCGTTTTTCCCTCGAAAAGTTACTTCTCCAGTAACAACGTCCGGGCCAGTTTGCGCTGCACACGGGATTTGAGTTATATAAATTTTTAACTCGCGTGCATATTTGTAGAGGGGAGTCTCCTATTGTGAGATAAGCTCCTAATATAAGATAGCGAATTTTCAACACCGTCCAATTTCACGAATCTTTCTCGCAACAGTTACACGACCGATCTGGCAATGAATTTTCCACGAAACAGATTTCGCTCGAGGGGCAAATAAATTCATGGTGGAGCCAGCGGATGATTTCCTATTAATTTAGCAGAAACCTCGCTGTCTCGCATCAGGAGCCTTTCTCATAATAGCGGACTTTATATAATGCGATTCTACCGAAGTATAAATTCATCAAACGGGCATTGCCGGTGAGATTTATTTATGAACTAGAGGTTTATTAATTTTGTAAAGAAGGGGAACTACGCAACGTTCATCATTGATGTTATTTTTAATCAGCGTTACGCACATTTCTCTCCCGGCTCGTTTTGAATTATCAATCGTTTAATAATACCACGGCGGAAGCATAAAGGTTGGACAATCGAGGGTATTTGGCGCACACTGTCCATAAACATGTCGCGCATATGCGCCGCGAAGATTATATTTCCCCTTGCGCGAGTAACGCATTCGCGCGTTATTTCGATCGGCGGCGCAATCTTTGTTTACCGATCGCACGAAAAGCGTGGATTACCTTGGGACGGCCGTTGATCACCGATAAAATCGTCGTCGTCGTCGTCGTCGTGAACGGAACTCTCGTCGCTGCAGCCAATAAAGCTGCGATCAATAATTCAACGCGGGCCGTGTGCCTGTTTGGCCTCGAGACGCTTAATGTAACGCGATAATTCAATTCGAAATGTGTGTCATAATCGTTAATACTTATTTAAAAATAGAACCGTCCCGGTGGTGGCGATCGAAGGGTTCGGCAAGGAGGGTCGATTGGCGAGCCGCGAGAAGAACTGATAAAATCTCAACGGAGAGTCGCGAAGCCCAACCGAGAGTGAGTGAGCGAGCGAAAATGAAAGAGAGAGAGAGAGAGAGGGGGGGGAGGGAGAGACGCGCTTTTAGATGCGTCGAGCGCAAACCTGGTTGCGAAACACACCCCGTATAACGACCTCCGCCTCAAAAATCGATCGTAGCGGGTCTTGGTCGCGAAACAAAAGCCAATAAGCTTATTCGGGGTAGTTTCCTCGCCGAGTTCGTACTTCTGTCCGCTGCCCCTAACTGAAAGTACACACGACAGTTCAACGATATCGGAGCGTAGATATCAACGGGTATCGACGTTGCTCGCGTGAGAGCGCGGACGCGTTATTTCGCGACGGTATATTCACGGGGAAAACTGACCGATGCAACAGATAAATTGTCGGGGGACCCACAGGCGAGCGATTAAGCAAGCGATAAGTACGCCACGCGCGCGTTCGCGCTCTACGTCGTTTCGACGACGCACAAAAGATGTACGTACGCGCGCGCGAGGACAGATTACGTCACCGTAAGCGGAAACCATGTATCGGCCGCGTTTTTACGTGCGGATCACGGAGAGCGCCGTGAAGCGCGCGGTGGAGCCTCGCTGGCCGGGCGCGGGGGTGGCTCGTAGGGGTTGCCCGCGCGATCAGCCGCCCTTTCCTCGGCCAGCCCGCTCCAGTTCTCGTGCGACCGTCGTCGGTACCGGACGTACGCTCGCGGCGGCGTACGCGACTTCCGGCACGGTCGAAAGAGCTTGCATATGCGCGCGAAGGAGGTCTCAGGGGCCGTCGTTCGCGCACGAGGCTCGCGTGTGGCTGCGCCGTGCTCTCCGTATCGAAACCGGTATACATATAATAAGGCCGGCGGAATAAAACGGTTCCCGCACTAAAGCGCCGCCGATAAGATTATAGAGATTATCTCGGTGCACCTCGGATTCCGACGAAGCTATGCTC